AAATGTCAGCGTTTCAGGAAATTTGACTTCAGCTTCATTATGAGGTGTTGTACTATGGGAGTATTTGTACACACACACATTTTATAGTTTCATACACAGTATAAGACAGAACAAATTCTAGCTAGAATTATCTCAGGAGGTTAGAAAGTTAACATTTCTCTCAGTTTCCTCAGCTTCTTATTCTGCTCCTAGACCTACTGACCAGAAAGAATAAATAACAGTAGGAAAGAAAGGTCAGTTAATGGTACACAAATCTGAAGTTATATTACCTGAAAGCCCATGCATTTGCTATTTTGAATGTTGTTGTCAAATTGCTCGTCAGAGGTAGAAAAAATTCTGTCTATAGATAGGAAAAAAAGTTATTTTTTAAGATGGTCTTAACCCTACCAATGAAACACATTCTTAGTTTGGTACATTCCACAAAACTTTTTTCTTTAGTCCAAGACTTATGACTATATGACAGACCATGTTGAATTTGGTTTATCTTCTGCAAGGTGGTTTTCCTCTTAGCCTTTTGTCATCCAGTGTGACATTAAAGAACTCTTTAAAAATAAGGGTGTTTTTGCAACCTTAGTTCCCAGGAAGAGATTCCACTCCATCTGGCAACTTAATACCCTTTGTACCAGGCTTAACTAGGAAGTTCTACCTTCAAAAGAATTACACTTGCAGTAGTGGACTTGGTTAGTGTTGCATTAGAAAACAGTAAGTTTACAGCCTCTTCTGGCTCTTATTTTTAAACAACACAAATACAAAGTAATGTTGAGACCCCATCTTAAAAATATTTTTCTAAAGTTTGCTTGGGCTTCTGCTTAAAACAATCTTTATATCATAACAAATCAGCTCTGGAAAAGTAGAAAATTACTTTCATAGACATTTCAGTCAGGAACACAAAATCATTTCAAACTCTCTTCATATCATCTCCTTAGTAACTTCTCTGGTGCTTCACAGGGTCAAACTGTTTTCTTTGTAAAACTATTCAAATTAGTTGTGTAATAAATGTTAATCTTGTATCATATGGCTGAACCCAGACTGCATCAAATGTTTTAGAATGGATGTTCATTTGATATGTTGGATGTGAGGACTATCAGTATTTTTTTAAAGTGAAAGCTTAGGGCACGTATCCAGGCACAATGCATTGCAAAATAGTATAGCAGTAGCTATTCTGCATGAGCTCCTTCATATAAACACATTTATTTGGTGTCATGAGAACTTTTTTTCTTCTTTGCTTAATCTACATTACTCTTAGCTTGCCATAAAAGGATTTACACAGAAAGCTATTATGGAACGTCTGTTATTTCCTCTGTGGATACAACCTTATGCAGAGGAACACTATGAGCAATTTGTATGGAAATTCAGAAGGCACGATCTTAGTAATTGATTACCATTATGAAATGGTAATCAATGGTTGATTACCGTTATTAAATACCAATGTTACAGGTTAAAATGCCTGAATTTTATTACAAGAAGGTTGCTATTAGAATTCTCTCAAAATTAAAAAAAAATCCAAAAAATAAAACTAAAGAATGGGGAAAATTTTCTAAAGGGTAAAGTGGCTAAAACTGTAACAGTTGGGAAATTAAGACTATTTTGAGAATTAATTTTTATTGAGAATAATTATTTGGTTTCAAAACCACTGGCAGTGACAAATTGTAGTTTCCAAATGTACAGCTTGGAGTCCATGGCATTTGAGGGATGGGACGTCTTCCTAGCAGTGCAGATCTCAGTCTCTTTTCTGACTTGTTGATTGTTGGGAGGGATTTGCACCGGTCTCCTGGTTCTTTTCTAAGTGCATTGAGACTATGGAGGGATGGGGTGGGTATTCTGTTATGAATCTCCTATTTGATCTGTCTTTGTGTTTTTTGAGTATCAACTGTCAATTAATAAATGTTGTTTATCAAAAACCAGATTCTAATCCAAGTTCCTGTTAGTATCTGTTTATAACACAATGAAAAGCAACAAGAGAGATGAAAAGACCTAGCACCAAATGCACTCTAATGTGATGATAAAGACACTTGGCGGAAAAAAAAGTTGGGTTAATCACCTTGGGAAGAAGCAAGAATCAAAGCCTTTCTTGTACATTCACAGCTACTACTCTAAAAAACTTGGATTTTTAATCCTTTAGTAGTAGTACATATTGTAGCCATTTCTTTTGTTTCCTTGTATGCTAGATATGTCATTTCAGCCTGAATTAAGGGGGAATTGTGAGAGAGAAATGGAAGAGATCAAGAAAACAGAAGATAGAAAAAAAAAATTTATAGACTTTTTGTGGACACTTAAGTAGAAAATTGCAAGGTCCTTATATCTTAAGACATAATTTAGTGTTTTGCAGTGTAATTGTTTGGCTTGTTTGTTTGTTTTCAATATTACACATTGTTTCAACAGTGGATTATGGCTAGTGCATGACATCCGAATCCTTGGTAACAGAGAAATCAAATATTCCTCAGCATTTGTACAAGGCTTCTGTCTTCAGAGAACTTCTGTAATCTTAACATATATAGATGAAGTGTGTAGTTCTGCTGCATTTTGCTGATCAAGTAGGATGAATCAGGCTGTGTTTTGGAGGGTAGCATGCATGCCTTGGTACTTTGTTTAACGTTGATTTCCTTTCTGTACAAGGTTCTTTCTTGGAGAAAACAGGTAATAGAAAACAAAAAAGGCAAAGAATACAGATATATAAATGCAAAGCATACAGAAATAAGCAATTTTATCTTTTTTTTTTTTTTTCTGTAATGCTTTAAACCTGAATTTTTTTTTCTTGTCTCAGTGAAATTATTTTGACTTCTTCTGCTTCCTTACATAATTTGGAGGACTAGAGATAGGTTCCTCCTCAAGTTTCACCCACGTTTCATACATAGAAGCTGCAGGAGACACCTCATCTTACAGAATACCTTCTCCTCTTGATAATGTCTGATAAATTACTCTTACCTGTCCTGGAGGATGATGATATAAAGCACTTAGACATCTCCACTAGAGGTCTTCTATAGAGGCTCCAATTTGTAGGCCTTTTCCTGTCCTTTCCACTGCAGAAGTGGAAATTCTTACCAGGATTGATTGAGTTCTAGTTGCATTCTTGGAAAGGAAACCTACATTGTTATTAGTTATGGATGCTAAGTATGGCATGCTTCTCTACCTGCTCTTTCCCGTTCAGACTCTTCCCCTCTGATCTTTTCCCTTGTTTTCCATCTTTAATGTTCTTCTTTAGCACACTTGGTTTCCAGATAATATTAGACAGATACAATCCTTGTGTCATAATTTCTGAATAGTAACTTTCAAAGCTCTAATCAAGTTCTAACAAACTTTATAGAGGTGGGACAGAAGTCTCAAAGAAAAATCAAGTTTCTACAGTCTTACTGCTAAGGCACAGTTAGGTGGATGAGGCCTACATTAGCTCTTCCCTGATTTGTTGGACTTCAGCTTTCATTTGTTGCAGCTATGCATGCATCCTAGAAAGATATCTCCGGCCCATACACAGTGTGAGCCATTAACATCAGTTTTAATGGTCTGATTCAAAATCCTTTTCTTTTGACTAGAAGGAAATGAGTGGAGATTCATTCTGATCAGAAAAATCTCATGTAAATCTTAAGCTTATTATTTCCTACTAAGTAGTGGCATGTCTTTATGTACTTGTCTTACTGACTTCATCTCGTTTAGGTGCTGTAAACTCTCAAGAGGTGCTCAGCTTTTGTAGTCTCCCAAAAAGTTCTGTGATAACTACAGCAGTTTCTAAAATAGAAAGAGCTTAATAAATAGATTTAGTTTCTGGATTGTTTTTTGTGGTTTTTTTTTTATAAGCTGCTTTTGTTCTCTCCATTGCTTTTATCTTGTATGCTACACAGAGTACTTCTCTACATATTTCTCTACTTCCTACTCCAGTGTGCACTCTTTCCTGGTTCATCAAAAAATCTCTTTCACTGTACTCATTATCCACATACGTAGTATAAGTACACTACCCATCTTCTTGCCTACGATGGCTTCTTTTGCTGTTTTGTTGGAGACAAGTTTTGTTGTCTCCTTCAAGAATATCATCACATAGTAATAGAAGGAAAGTTAGCTAAGGACACTTCATAGTATCTTGGACTGGACAGTCATTGTTGGGGAGGTGAGACAAATAGCCATATAGCAAATTAGCTGGGATGCACCCTTGGGAATCAGTATTGTTGTCTGTCCTCAGTGCCTCTGAACAGTTATGGCTGAGACATGCAATGTTTTATATTACAGGAGAAGCAGCAGAAACTAGTTTTCACGTCAAGTGAGGTGCTTACAAACACAGTGACTAAAAGTAAGATTATTTTAAAAAAATCAGGGAATTACTGGGTTTCATGTTGACGTTTTAGACCAGTTTTAAACAGCATGTATTCTTTCTTCTGTTAGTATAATATGTAAAAATAACTATTTACATACACGTGTAATGCATATTTTACATACATACATATGTATATATGTATCCAAATTGTCAATTTTAACCCGAGATCTCGCGTGATATATTTTGGGTCTAAGTTTCAGATACTTTTGTAGGTATTCAAAGCAGTTTCTTTGGAGTTTGTACGTCCTAGCTTCCCCTTACTTCCCTGCGTACTTCGATCTGTTCCCTCTTTACATGTGGAATTAGGAACTTCTGAGATCTGCTCAGCACTCAGACAAATGACGTAGAAGTGTAGCAGGTACCACGTTCCTGACTCCGAGATCTGGTTTCGCGCCTGCACTTCACTTCCGTGGGGGAAGGCGGGAGCCTCCGCACTCGCTGCCGGGCGCTGTCCCAGGGGGCTGGGCCGGGCCCGAGGCGCCCCTTCGCCCCTCGCCTGTCTCATTTGCTAGAGGTTTCTGTCTGTTCTCGGGTGGGCGGCGTGGGCTGCCCGTTTCCCGTCGGTAAAAGCCCAGGATTGAGGTGGTCGCGTTCTGTCGCCCGCAGGCTCCCGGCAGTGTGGGACGCACCGGGGAGAGGCGGACGGCGGCGCCGGCGGCCCAGAGGCGGCCCGGGCGGGCGGAGCCGTGCCCGGCGCTAGGACCCAGCAGGACGCGAGGCGGCTCTTCGGTCCGGATCACAAATTCGTCGTGACTCAGTCCCTGCTCGGCGCGGAGGCAGCGGGAACAGGTCGGTGTCCTACGTCTATCCGGCGGCTGCTGGGGTGCGTGGGAGCACGAGAGCCGGAGCGGAGTGAGCACTGCCGCACCTCTTCCCTGGCCCGGCCTTCCTTCATCTCCGCCCGCCCCCGCCCGGGCCCTGCCGCGCCGCCAACCGCGACCGCCTGTTGTCTGCTGTTTTCCAGACAGCCAAGATGGAGTACGAGTGGAAGCCCGACGAGCAGGGACTCCAGCAGATCTTGCAGCTTCTCAAGGAGTCCCAGTCCCCGGACACCACGACGCAGAGAGCCGTGCAACAAGTATCCTTGGCCGAGGCTTGGGGGGCCCCGAGAGTGGGCCGGGGGCCGCCGAAAGCGGGCGGGGGGAGCGTGGCCTGCGCGGCAGCGGGGCCGGCGCTGCGGCAGCCGGGCCTGCCCGGCTCGGCCCGGCCGCGGAGCCGCCTCAACGCGGGGGGCCGAGCCCTGGCCGGAGCGGGCGGCCGTGGCGCGGCGTTTGAACCGCCGGGGCGGCCTGTGGGCCGCGGGGCCGCCTTTACCCGGCGGGCACTGGGCACCTGTTGCAAGCCCAGAGACAAGGGCTGCGTTGGGTTTGGCCGTGGGGGGCTTTTATTATTTTTCTATTTATTTATTTATTTTAAAAGCCTGCTCTCTGGCGCGTCTCCGCCGATATCCGCCGCTCTTTCGGGTTCCCCCGCCCAGCCCCCAGGGCGGTCAGGCGGGAACGGGGCCCTCGGCCCGGCGGGTCCCGCCGAGGGGGCCGCGGGTGCCCCGCGTGGTGTGCCCGCCGTCCCCACGGCTGAGAGGGGCAAGGAGGGGGCTCTGGAAGTAATCTGGCAACGGGATTCGAGGTGAAAACCGTAGCTGGTGGGGGTAGTGCCGCTGGCAGAGCCGCTGCCTGCGCGCCCTCGTGGGCCTGCTGGCTCTGACACTGCGCATTTTGGTACGTGATGAGGATGTTTTTATTTGCCTGGAAGCCTGATCCTGAAACTCGGCTCGTTAGAATTCACGAAAAAGGGGAGCTCTACATTATGTGCTTTCTTGTAGCGCTTTGCAGTACATTTAGTGTTGATGTGGATCCATGGTTTTTTACCCTTGCCCCTCCTCCTCCCTTCCCCCCGCCCCCCCACTCTTCATTGTAGAAGTAAAGAATAGCAAGATTTTAAGAAGCAAGGATTGTGAAAGCAAAACTTTAAATTAAGACTAGTAGAAGCATAGGCCTTAAAAAATAAAGGGCTGATCTACTGTGTCCTGCTCCTTGAGCTAGCCGTAAGTGCTTTGAAATTTATAGAAGTGCTGAAATTCTATGAAGGATATGAATTTGTTATTTGGATCTCTTTTTATTTAAGGCATTTTCTTGAAGGTCTCCACAGAAAGTAACAGAATTTGTTTAAGTGGGTAAGAACATATGCGTCTGTATATATTTATATTAAGTGTTTAAGCCAAATTTGGTCCACTTACGGACTTTTGTAGCAAATGCAGGGAATTTCAGGAAGGCTTCTTCTCCTGTCTGAAAGGTGAAAATGGATTTCATCTTGATCATCTTATTCTTTCAGCTGTGTTTTAAATTTTTAAAATATGATTGCTTACTTTGAAAAATCCTAAACAGAAGAGTCTAAAGAAGCAGTGTTCTGATAATCCACCAAGCTTAAACCACTGCTCTTTAGTATTTAAAATATCAAAATGTTTATAGGAACAGTGTTTATAGTGTAGCTTTAGTGTAAATTACATTTTAAAGCTTTGCTTCAAATAATTTAATTACATCTGGTTTGCTTATTGAGCTATAGCATCATATATATAGGATGGGCAGTATATGTGATGCTGTCTATCTTGATGATGTATAGAACTTGACTGAACAAAAAGTCCTTTCAAGTGATGCTTGAAATTCTTTTTAAGTGATATTGAAAACTCCTTGCTGTGTCGATACCTGTGCTTTACAGTAGGTGCTCATATGTTGTCTTGTAAAGGTTAGAGAAATGGGATGGTTTTAGCAGTGTATTATACATTTGGGAAAATTATCTAATGCAATTGACAGGCCATGTCCTAAAAAAATGATGCATGTCCTTTGAGACTGTTTGCACACACACACACAAAAAAAATTGTGATGTCTGTTGTATTCTAGGATGTTATTTAATAGTATGTCCGAACAGAGTTGTGGTTAATGATTTCAAATTTAAAGTACTTAGTCCATAATTTCTGTAAAAAAATCAAAAAAGCTGTGTGTATATTTTGTAATGCTGTTTCTTTATGATGCTGTTTTAGCACACTTGGGTTTTTAGATGTCAAATATAATGAAGTGGGAGGTACAGGTTAGCTGAAAGCCTTAGTTAGTAAAGTTATAAATTGGTATGATTTCAGATGTTTTTCAAATTAGTTTATTGTGTATTTTGTTGAATAAAAAAGAAATAGTTAAGTGTATGAAGAAATTATGAAAAGTTGTCTAAGACCTAGTCTTCACTTCTAAGACCAATTAAGTGTTTTCTCATTAAGTTTCTGTTAAATACTGCTCTTTCTGTTCTTTCTTTTCCTTTCTGTTACTTTTTGATCCATTTGACTACACAGATGGTAATGTACAGCTGCCTGTTGCAGTGATACAGCTTTACAGTTTTTTTTAAGGATCTGTTAATTTTTATGTCTGTCCATGGATTATTTTTAGACTTTACCCATAACTTAAAGCTATTGTTTCAGTAAAAAAATTACAAAAACTGTTTTTGGGTTGTTCATACTCTGTATATCCTGAGCTTATAGTAACAGCTGATTGAAGTGATGTAGCAGTACATAACAAGTACAACAATCTTTGTATCCAGAAAGCTATAAATGTTGTATGTAAAGATTCAACTTTCCTTAACAGTTTCTCTCTTCAGAAACTAGAACAACTCAATCAGTATCCAGATTTCAACAACTACCTGATTTTCGTTCTTACAAAGTTGAAGTCTGAAGGTAAGTTCTTGAGATAGTAATTGTTTTATTTTATTTTTTTTGGCCTTTAAAAGAAAAGTATTATTTAGCTTCAAAGAAATAGAAAGCTGACTGTAGTCAGTTTGCTGGCTGGTTGGCTGGTTGAGCTGTCCATAGTCATGTAAAATTCACTTATGCACTCAGTGGTCTTTGTGGGGAAAAAAATCTGATAACTTATTCGTATTTGTAGTATCAATCTTAGAATGGAATCTCTTCTAAATGGCCAGTGAAATCTTCTGAGAAATGTTAGCACATCATGCCTCTATTGGACTGCAGTAAAGTTGTGGAATAACTGTGATGAATCATGACTATATACATTATAAAACATACTGCTAATTTCAATTATGATAATTATCTTCATAGTAATGAGACTGCTAAATACTTTGAAGACTATGTATTTAGAGTTGTCCAAAGATGTCTGTGATAATCTTCATTCTGAAAATTTAATTGTAGTAAAATACAGTTAGAAATCAATCATGTTGTTTAATTGCTATGGACATTACCATACAGACTATATATGGCATTGTGTATAGCCTCTACCAGTTGGTAAATTCAGCCAATTCCTTTTTTGATCAGGGTGGGTGAAAGATTTTCTTTTCAGTATACTGTAGCTATTGTTTTGAGATGTCATTGGTAGAGAAAGGAAATTTGTTTCAAGGTCTGCTTTAGCACATCTGTTTCTTTACATTTGTTTGTAATCGTGTTTGGTTGTTTGGGTAATTTTCTAGGTTTTTTTTCTTTAGTGTTCTGCTACTAGTGCTTTTTCTGCTGTTTGGTGTTTCACGTCTTTGTGAATGCTTGCTTTTTCCCTTTGAATTAGATTTTAATTATGTGTGGCCCTGTAACATTCAAAGAATTTTCAAGAATGTTTGTCTACATTTTAAGTACTGTTTTGGTTTAATCAGCTTATTTTAGGAGGAGGGAAACAGAGAGGAGTATGAACGTATGTTTTCCTGTTCGAAGGCTAGAGTATATATCTAAGTGCTTCTGTGTGTTCGCAGTAGAAAGTCACCTAATAATCTGTAAAGTCTTGGGGGGAGTACCTTAAGTCTTGAGAGCATTTTCGAGACTTGAGTCAGCCAGGATACTGAATCTTTGAATAAGGTGCCAGTGTAGATATCATATCCTTTATACCATTACCAGAAAAATTCAAAGCAATTCCAGTAGTGGGATATGGAATTTGTACAAAGGATGTGACAAGAAGGATGTTTCACTTATTTTTTTCTGTCTGTGAATTTTCTGACACTAACACATCTTCCTAATTTCACTTTCTTCATTCACCATTTGAGCATGAGGCTGTAGATTGTCAAAGATGTTTGGCTTTTAGTGGTGTGTTAAGTTCTATCTTCCTAACAGAATTCTTTCAATTATTCAGTAGTCATCTTTTCCCTTCCTTATGTTTAATCACATCAACCTCTAGAATTGGATGAAGGTTAGGATATGCTAGCTGTTGTAAAATGGTTTTGTATAGCTGTTTTTTGTGAGGGGGAAAAGGTGTATTCTGGCAGACTGAGGAGCCAAGCAGGTTGGGAACAAGTAGTACGCTAACTTCCAGGGAGAGGTGTTTTGGATTAGATTGCATTGATACCTCTCACAAATACATCAGGTCTTTTGTGAGACTGTTGGAAAGCATCTCTTATTTTGGTGATCTCATGTCCTGAATCATGACATTTTTAGGGTCATAAACTTTTGTCCAAAGCACCTATTTTTTAACTTTGTTTTTCTATTTCTGGAAATGTGCAAAATATCGAAGGTACCATAACCAAGTCTGGTCTTGGTATTTTTCATAATGTTTGCCGAATTCTGAATTCTAAACATTCAAATTCTGTTGCCTTGCTTTGGTAGGACTCATGAAGAATGGCAGAAGTCTGTTGATTTGGTTTCCTTTGAATCCAACCAACAGCCCTTCACCTTCCCTCCTGCTCAAGTATGGTAATGAGACTGTTAGAACTGCTGGTCAACAGCTACAATACTTGGGTGGACTCATCCCAGTAGATACCTGTCTTCACTAGGACTCAGAAAGCATTATGGTTTTTGTGCCTCCTGAAGTGGGTTCTGTTGGCTGTCTGTCTTTATGGCTTTGCCACAGACCAAAGCATAGATATTCATTCTATTACAAGTTCATGTTTTTATTGTGTCCATACTATTCCAGCAGAAGGAGCAATGAAAATAGGCTTATAACATCTCTGACAGCTTATTCAATAAAAATTAAGTTGTTTTCGTAGTCTGGGAGAAAAAGATCTCTGCTTGGTAGCAGTTGGAACTGAACTTTGATTTAGTTTTTGCTACTGTTGAAACTTCTGCTGAGAAAATGGTGCTTAAGGATACATTTAGGTGACAGCTCCTGAATGTGGGAATTCTGTCATTTTGTTGGTTGAAACGTGTGTTAATGTGTGAATGTGTGTCTACTGCAGTGAAGATTGCACCAACTTACCTTTGACCTGAGTCTTACACCTCTGTGGACAATTAACTTTGCAAGAAAACTTCTTTTGCAACCACAATCTTTCATTTACAAAACTGGATTTCACTGAATCCTGACTTTAAGATACTTAAGTAAACCTTATGTGTAGGAAATTTGCTTCGTTTTAGCACCATTATTATTCAGTTGAACAAACTATTACGTTCTTTTCCTCTAATCTTAGTTCTGTCAGGCTTCTGTTTGTGAATACCTGTGACTTACTGGTTTAAGACCTATTGTGACAAGCCTACATGTAAGTAGGGGTTTTCTTGGTTTTTAAATTTTTCTGGTCCCTGTCAAAGCTTGTTAAGCTTGTGTCTTTCTGGAAGCAGGAATGCCCTGCTGCCTTTTCATCAGTGAAAATATATGGCCTACTTAACTGCTACAGCATATATATGCCCAAGGTTTAAGTACTTAATTTCTTTCTTGGTTTTTTTGGGTTTGGTTTTTTTGGGTTTGGTTGTTGGGTTTTTTTCTTGTTTGCTTTGTTTTTATTTGTGGGGTTTTTGTTGGGTTTTTTTGGTTTTTTGTTTGTTGAGCATTTGTTTGTTTTGTGTATTTTAAAATCAATGTGCATTTGTAAAGATAGAGTTGGGAATCTGGATGAAACACAGATGTTAAAAAAATACCCCATGTTAAAATACCGCCATGTTAAAAATACCACAATATAAAACTTGTTAAGGAAACAGCATTCAGTTAGACAGTAGGCAGGCTGATGAAATAAAGTAAGATCCTAAGCTGTTAAAGTTTAAGATATAGATCTCTAGTGTGTACTTCCCATGAAATATGGTGCTTAGATATCTTCCTTAGGTAGGTAAGATGGAGTCCAGACTAACTGAAAAGTAGTCTGAATGAAAAAAGGGTTGTTTTACTAATTTATCTGTAAATAAAAATATTACTTGTAGGCACTGTTAGTGTAGTTGCTCCTTCTTGGATTGGAAGGTAAACATCACAGATAATGTAGTCACACTGCTCTGTCCTTGGTGTTGGGTTTGTGGTTTTGTTTTTCCAGTGTTCCCTGAGGTGAGCTCAGAATCCTGTACTCTTCTGTATTCTGGTAATAATTTGTTTTCTGGGCTGTTGTATGCATATTGCTTCTGCTTCTCAGATAATTTTCTGGATTTTGTGTGGTTGACTGAAACAGTCTAGTGCTATATGGAACCATCAGTTCTGCTTCTGTTGTTGCTTTTTTCATTTAACTGCATCTTCCCTTCTTTGACCCAAGTCATACATCTAAATCCCCCTTTCCTTGTTTGCATTATTGCATCCCCAGTCCAAGTATGTTTCTTTGAACGAAAGTATGTATTTTCCTAATTTCAACCTCTTTACTATCTTGCTGAGACCCATTCTTCTTCGGTTAAGGTGTATTGAGGCAGTTTTCCAAGGTATATGAAGCCTGAGGCAGGTCAGAACCTCCAGATGTCATAATATGGACAATTCATACTGCAAGCAGAAATGCTGAGTTTGTTTTAGACCTTGTTGGCTGTAGTGGTGAAATTTCCAAAGTTGCCTGTATGAAAACTTGCTTTGTTTATGCCTTCTTTGAATCAATGTTTGTAAGATATTTCTTTCTCCCTCTACTCTAAAATAGGCAGACAGAAATAGCACCCTTCTTAATTTGCAGTGTCTTATTGTAGGACAACTTCATCAATTTTCTGGTGTTTTCTGCTTAGTTTCAGTGCAGAATTACACCTCACTTTATTCCAAACAGCATCCTGAAATTTGTGAATTGGAGGTGGATGTAGTTGCACTAAATTATTGAAGGATGATGTCCATGGCCCCAGATGGGACATGGTTAGTTTTTCATCATTTCTGTAAAGTTCTGTGTTCATTTCCCCCTCTTGTCTACTGGGCTCTCAGCAGGTCCTTATGTTAATGGCAAAATATTGAGAGAAATGCATAATGGTTCTGATACTTTCTGCTGGCTTGTATAACTGTAGTTGTCTAGTCTGTTATAGTTACACAATTGTGATCTTGTGAAGGTGTTTTAGTGATAGACTCTTCACCCTATACAAACATGGGAACTCCACTGTTAATTCTCCACAAACTGTTATCTCAGTGGATTAATTGGTCACAGTCAGTGGTGTTAAGGCTATTGCAGTCAAGTATCAGAGTCCTTAAAATGATATTTTATTCTGAAGGTGAATGAGCTGAAACTGGGAGCACTACTTTAGTACTGTTTTTGTCACAGGTTTTAAGGATGGCCTTTTGAGCTTATTTCCAGAATACTTTGGATTTTTATAAACCAGTTGAAGGGAGAAGAGCATGGTCTCTGTAGTTCTTGGTCTTGTTCATGTGATGACCTGGTCATTCAGAGTATTTTACTTTGATCTGGAACATTACCATGGAGACTGGTCCTGTCCTCACTCTACTCCCTTCTCTCCCTCCCTCTACCAAGTTTTTGTCTCTACCGAGCTTTTCACAGATGGTAATTTATGTTCTGGTAATCATAACTAATCTAACTAATCATAACTGCTAATAATCTAGTTTTGCACATATAATTCGAAACAGCTTTTTATAAGAT